TAGATCAACAGCCGTGATTCAATTGATTCTGGGTCGGGTAGGCGGGTTTAGGGTTTGGGTCAGGTAATTTTAATATGAAATTAGGCTGGGGTTGGGTTTAAATTAAGGCTAAAATTGAAATGTAATCTGGCTATATTTTAAATAGCCAATTTTCCCTATATAATTTATAATAAATAATAAATAATTTCTTGAAAACAATTTTGTGTACTAAAATTATTTTAAAATAGATATTTAACATTTTAAAAATATAGAAGATCAATTTTATGCATATAAATGTAATTATACATTAATAAGTCTAATATTACAATTATATGCAATTTAGCTTTCAAAATGAAAAATGCAATTATAAAAATGCATTAAAAATATTTTAACAATATTTTGGTATAAATATAGAATTTAAATGACTAAATCACCCCAACAATAATTTGAGGGATAATTATTGGGGATTTTATGAGTAAATGGGGAGGAAATAAATTAATTAAAAATCTATAAAATTATAGAAAAATTATAAAAACCTTATGCATGCTTATATATGCATATATATGTTATTTTGAAGGTATTTATGCATATAAAAAATACAGGAAAAATTTGGGTATCAACAGGGAGCAAATCATATAGCACGTACCATGGTGTTTTGCCTCCCACCTACCCTTGGACAAAGCTCGCCACTTATGTTCATTATAAGTCGAGTGGGTTGCCAACTTCCGAGCTCAATCCGGCAGGTCGGGGACCTCGCACGGCATCCATGAAATTGCTGCAGAAAGGAAAGGAAGGCGCATTTACGGAGCCCGCCTTCGCCACAATTAAAAAACTACAAAGGCAAGAGTATACCACTTACGTGTAAATTCCACCCCTCAGGAAATAGCAGAAACTCCACAGGGATAATATCGACAATCTGTACTCAGACGAATCGGCTCATCCACCCTCGATCTCGGTCTTCTTCATCATCAACAACGAAAGGCGTGGTGGATCGGCATTGTAGGGTTAGCAGACCTCGATGGTGAAAAAGGTCGATACATCCTAATGAGATAGCTAAGAGTGAATTCAAGCCCTGCTTTCTTCGCAAAGAACCTCATCATCAATACTATTCGTCAAAATGATGGATGAATCAGCGCCAAGGTAACCTTATACTTTCGACAGAAGTCGAGCACAACCCTATCAAGGGGGACTAGCATAAAGGGGTACATGTACACATTCAAAACCCCTCGGCATGATCCATGATGCTCTCCTCCGGGGAAGGTACCCGCAATACTACCTCTTCCCCCCATCCATAGTCCTTCCTCGCCAACTCAAGGTGCTTCTCACCTATTAAAGAAACAAACTTCGAGGCATACTCCCAATGACCTCGAACGTTGGGAGACTTTTCTGAAGGGAGATTCCCCCCCGAAACAATATACCCAAAGGATGATTCGCCAGCACTGACGGCACACTACCAACCAGGCGGGAACCAGAGGTGTAACTCCCTTCTCCTTGCCGAGCAGACCCTGGTGTAGCAGTTATGACTGTGGTAAAACTAGAGAATTGGAGTGGAAATTTGAGCAAGAGCGTCAAAACTAAAATGATGGAGGACCTAACGCAGGGAAGGAGAAATATACAAAAGAGGATAACTACTCAGAATGGCGGAATATTCAAAAGGGCGAAGACAATCCTATATATGGAAAAAGCGGCGACTACCCGCCTGCCTCAAAGGCCGATTAAAAATACTGGCTAGAGATTTTATCGCTCTGGGAAGATGTGCCGACGGGATCGCCTCGGTCATTTCGTAACTGTGTCATACACTTGATGCCGGCATATGACGTTTTGGGGTCAGAGACCCCCGCGCCAACCAAGCCTCGAGATGGTACCCGATTTCAGGACCTTCGCCAAAAAGAAGACAGGCTCCAGAAAGCCAACGGTATCATTATAAGTCCCGAGATGGTAGCCGATCTCGAGGATCTCCATCAAGAAGAAGATATGCTCCAAGGAGCCATTGACATTATCCTAAGCCTCGAGATGGTACCCGATCTCGAAGTCCTCTGTCGAAAAGAAGATAAGCTCTAAAAACCTACTCATATGGGCTTGGCCTCGAGGTGCCATCTAAACCCGGGTAATCTCTCATCCGGAATCTATCTGCAACACCTTAAGGCTATCTGCATTGAGTTCGGAACAAGTTTCTAGGCCGTCTGAGCTTGAGCGAACCCCCATTCGGGGACTGCTCTCGAAGGCCTAGAGGTTATCATTATTCTCAGGCATCCGAGCAAATTTCCCCTCGAGGAATATCGTGGGGTCTAAAAGGCTAAGTCTCGTACTGAATGTTCGAAACCCTACTCTCGTTCAACTAGAGGTCGGGGATCCCGACGACCTGAGTTTATCAATCCAATCTGGGCTCGGTCCAAGGAACGACAAAGGGTTCTACGGGGAATCGTGTTAATCATTCAAGGGCCAGAAGAAATATTGCACCCGGGCTCGATATTCGCACCAATCGGTGGAGTTATGCATTCAGATTCTCCACAAACCCAGATAAAAAGAAATATAGCATAAATCAGAGACAAATTGAAGAAACATCTTGGTATTTATAAGCACATGATTACAAAAGCCCACGAAAGGTCCTTACATATGATTACAAAAGCCTACGAGGGGTCCTTACATAGAAACAAAGAATAAAAAAAAATACATATATAATAAAAGCCAAGAGTCTAATCTATTCTGGGGGTGCATCCTTGGCGGCAGTATCTTCGAGCACCACCTCCTCAGGGGCCTCGTCTCGATCTTCCAAAACGGCACCTTCAAGGGAGAAGATAGAGAAGAGGAAAGTGACGTAGAAGAAGCAGAAAGGGATGAAGAAGTGGCTGGGTGAAAAATCTGGCTAGTATGGATTTCGCCAGCACTACTATTGTGAAGCCACTTCTTGAGACGTTACACCGGTGCGGGATGCAACAGTTAGTAGATAGTACCACCTCATTTCACGGAAAGCAAAAGGAGTGAGGCGCCGCACCAGGTAGTCAGGAGAGATGAGTAGAAGTTCATAGTCCTCATATCCTCTAATGCGAGGATAATTTGAGATTTCTCTCTCATCACCTCGGGTCAACAACAACAACAACAAATCAACAAAATCTCACTCGGTAAGGAAAAGCCCTGGAAAAAGGCCATGGTATAACTGATGAGAGCGCCGCCATCTAAGCTTAAGACAACGGGCCTCAAACATGGGAAATAACAATGGATGAGGATGGACAGAAAAAAGGGGTGAAAGGCTGTTGAAGAACATTTGAATGAATAATTAGTTCTAGGAGGCTCCCATTTATAGAAAGGGTGGCTGTGTAACCGACGACGCCATCAATGTCTTTGAAAGACGTATCGGCAGGCACAATCAATTTTGGGAGCTGGACCGGCGGCGACATTATCGCTTTGAAGAATAAGAATCGGCAGTACATTGAATGATTTTGGAAAGATGAACCGACAGGATGCCTCGGTTATCACAAAGGCTGACGTCATAAGTGTGACATTATCACGAGAAGATCGAAGAGATGGATCTCAAAGTCATTTCTTATCGTTCCACTCTAAGAAACGCGGGGACTATCTGTATACAGTAAAATCAGAGGGTCCAATTTTTCGTCATTACGATGCCTCGTCAGCACATTTTCAAAGGCTCGAGGTTATGGTCGAGACTCACCCCCGAGGGGATACCGACACCTGACCTCGGGGCAGTATAGATCGGCGGTTATGGTAAAAAAGTAGAAAGTTCCCAAGGCACGTAACTAGAGCCGACAAAGTCTGTCAGGCTAGTCTAAGCCAGCATCATGGCATTAACTGGCTGTACCAGCTCCATATCTTTGTAATAAATGTATTTGTACTATGTTGGGATCCCCCCTCCCCATATATAAAGGAGATCCTTGTCATTTTGTAATCACCTGATGCTCAATACTAAATACATAAGAACATTCTCTCTGCCCTCTAACACATTATCTTGCTCTCGTTACTCCCATTTATTGCTTACATTCATTGTGTTCTATTAGTTGTTCATCATTTATTGCTTATCATTGATCATAAAGAGCCATCATTTTAGCTCTCATAACTGTTAGTCTCCCTCGATTGCCCTAAGCCGGTCTCCAGACTCTACCTCGAGGCCTCATATACGGCAACTCGAGGCCCCGACCTCCAACCGCTCGGTTCGATTATCACATCGTCTCTAAGCTATAATCTTGCTTTCTAACCTTTTACTTAGCATCAATTGGCTAACAACTAGCATAAAAATAGATCACGTATTTTTAGAACCACAAAATCAAATTTAATTGGATGTCGAACACTTAAAACCCCCTCTCCTTAGGCACATGAGCAAGACAGCAAAACACGGGGACCTAACGTTGGGCAAACCAAGTATAGAAAGGGTATGACTAATGATGGTAAAATAGTTAAAAGAAAACAGTTATTCATCCATATTATCCATTAAAATATGGGTAGACTAATAAACTTTTTAAAAACAAGTTAAATATGAATAAAAACCATATCATCCACTTAAAAAATGGATAACTAATGTGTTTTACTTTTACATTTGTAAAGCCTCAAATTGAGGGTTCCTTAAGCTTGGGAGACAAGGAATTCTCCATAAAGTGATCACATTCAAGAAGTCATGGTAATATAGATATCCATATTATCCGCCGGTTAATCCATTTTTTATCGATATTAAATATGGATCGGGTCGGATAATTATCCATTTTTGCATTACCCGTTTTTAACCCGCTCATTTACCACCCCTAGGCATGACTATGTATCATGTTAAGGAAATGGACACTGGACTAACTCAAATCTAAAAACTAGCTCTCAAAGTAAAGATTAACCAAGATTATATAAAGAGACAACAACACTTAACATACACTCAAGCAGTCAGCGTCAAAATATGGTTGCAATGAAAACTGAGCAGAAAAAACCACTTGCGAATCGAGATACAAGTACAAAAACCATAGAAGAGAGAAAAGACCATACAGCCAAAAGACGTCTCATCTGCGTAAAATTTTTTAGAATTATAGTCCTCAATCCAGGATATACTTATAAGCATCGAATGACTTTCAGAATTCAATATAGATACCCTTCATGACTGCCATCTGGTGGTAAAAAAAAATCAGAAAATTCCTCTTTACATTTCCAGTTAATTGAGATAAAGCAAAATTGAAACTAGAATGTGTAAATTGCTACTACTACTGAAATTACATAGAAGTGATTCAAAATTTTACGTCACTGTACAACTCTGCAATTGTGCCACAATCATGACCGATCACATTCAGCTAACTGTTTCGCTGAACTGGAGTTGGGAACTTCATTCACAGTCGCATGTTCTATATAACCTTTTTCAGGTTCATCAATCCCTGCAGCATTTCCTTCCTGTAAACAAGTCAAAGGATCTTCTGGGATGGGCTGAACATTAGCATCTGAAGGCTGCTTCTCGCGTTCCATGTAATCTTTTTCAGGTGCATCACTCCCAGCTGTGTTTCCTTCCTCTGAACCAGTCGAAGAATCTTTTGAGATGGGTTGAACACTAGCATCTGAAGGCTGCTTCAAAGCAGGAGCAGCATCTTTTCTGACACCACTATCCTTGGTAGAATTACTAGACTGCAACCACATAAACTGCAAAGCTTGGCCTTGCCAGATTTTGCCATTCAAAAATGCCCTCTCAGCAGACCGGCGCGTTGGATAACATATCTTAGCAGATATGTTTAACGTCTCTGAGCCATTATTACTATCTTGAGGCTCCAAATCTTCCAGCTCAACAGAGGTAAGGTCACCAAAAGCAGAGAAATGTTCCTTCAAGACAGCAACCTAGAATAGGAAAACCATTCTTAATTTTATCATACAAAGATACGAGCAAGGAGGGAAAAGAATCTACAGATCAACCTGGATATTATAGCTAACCAAGGGAGATATAACACTAATGACAAGTACTATAAAGTGTCCTCAGATCCTTTCTCACACATCTAGAAGAATTATGTGTCACCTAAATTGGGAAGAAGGAACTTTACAGAAAAATAAAGATTTGCAAATATGAGAACAGGTAGAAACACATGCACATATCTCCTACCTTGACCATAGGAATTATGAGTGCATTGTATAAGAAAATAAAAGAAAACTTTCAAAGTGCGGACATAAACTTTCGAAAACCTATCCATGTGAGAAGGAGAAGATAGTAATAATATAGGCATGCTCTAACATACTAACAGCTCTGCCTTGGAAGAAAAGGCACATAAGTGGCATAAGAAGATGGAAGTAAAAAATATGTGCAAAATTATTTGCAAATACTGGCAAATTTCAACTATCTGAGAGAGGACTGAAAGAAATTACATTTGCAAGACCACATGGCAAAGGTGGAAGAACTTTGAAGGCAGTGGGACGATTGTCTAGTTTGTATCTATTGAATATAAAAGGTGCACCATGTGGTGCCAGTGGACGAATTGACTGCTTCAAGCTGGAAGGTTCCTGTGTGGCCACAGTAGAAGATGATATAGAACAAGAGCGCTCCGCATTCTCTGTTGATCTGCTACAATCAGAGATTGCGTCAGCTTGTGTTGAAGATACATCATTATTAAGTTCTGTGGAGCTTGAATTTTGCATTTTTGCAGAATAAGATACTGTTTCTCCCTCCACCTGTTTCTTCAGATCCTGGTCTGAGACTGCTTCAGCTTTCACACCTACAGCCTGCATAGACGGAACCACATAATAGTGGAAGAGAAGACCCTAACATTAGTTTATTAAAGATCAATGAGATTATATCGTCAATATACAGAGAGGAAAAACAAAGAACAAACTGCAATAAACATGAGATCAGCTTATTCTGAGGACAAATTAATTGCTATAGTCAATCTTGATATAAGTTGTGGAAACAAGAATAAGAACCGTTACAGTTAACATAAAGTTGTATCATCATATGTGGGAAGGAAACAAAGAATGACTTGCATAAACAATTCCAGATACAAGATATTCATTGTAGTTACCCCTCGTCATTATTATGGAAAAAAGTACTTCTACAGTTAACAACTAGGAAGCATATCAGATAACAACTTGCAGGAATGCTCCGAAAAGTCAGTTTGTTTAAATGTAGGTTTTGAAAAAGAATATAATGGAATATTTCAAGTTGGTGAGAGAAAATAAAGAATAAAATCACTTAATCTCAGTAGATACTGAATATCAGCTTAAAGAACATTTTCTTTGGACAATTTTGAAAAAAGAACAGGCAATCACCTGCTTCTCAAGTTTAACCAACTGACGTCGGAACTCATTCCGCTTCTGATCAAGCAGCTCCTGCTTCTTGCGCAATTCTTCCTTCAAAAGTTCTAAACTCTCCACCTTTCTTTGCACAGCTGGTGCAGCTTTGGGAACATTATGAGCCACAGGCTTAGGTAGACCAGAAGTAGGTAACAGAACAACAGGACCATGTTCAGCAGCTTTTGAGGCTAAGGACTGGATATTGTCTTTTCCTTTATAAGGAACAGATAGGTGGGGTTGAACCACACTAGATGTTACTCCACGAGGAGTCAAAGGTAAATTAATGCCACCATTTAAACCATCATCCATAATGCTATCCCTGTTTGCCCAGAAAAGCTTTATAAAACGGTTGCCGATCACAGCATCAGGTGCCCTTAAAGCAGCCTCAGCTTCTTCTCTCTTAGAAAATTGAATAAAAGCTCGTTCACCACTCTGTGGGATGTGGATGTCAATGACCTCCCCAAATTTTTGAAAATGTGAAAGAAGAGCATCTGGTTTGTTGTCTTTCTGTGGAATGCCTCTCACAAACAGCGTTCGAAGTGCCTTTTGAGAAGGTTTTCTCATATTATGTCCAGAACTACTTTGGGGCTTGAAAGATGATTCTGTCATTTGTGGGTCAATAGTATCTACATTTTTTTGCTTCCCTGGACGGGAGTTTCCTTGATTGCTGCAGGACGATTCCAAATCTTTTCCCATTTCATCAAAACTTGAAGCATCCCCTGTAAAATCAGTGATCTCTTTCACATTCGAGTTATTTTTTGACCTTCTGATTCTTCCCCACACACTCTGAGATCCTGAAGCTGCCTTAGCACCTCTAAGTGGATGCTCAAGTTCAAAGGCATCACACTGCCCAACTTGATCATGATCAGAGGAGTCTGCATCTAACAAAGGCCCAGTATCATCAATTTTAGATGGATTTAAATCCTGGAGTACTGCTGAAGTTTCAGAACGATCATTTGACCATAAAGGCTGATCAGGATCATAAAAATCAGCTCCCCCAGCCATAGAACCATCAACAAAAGCATCAGTCAAACCCAATCCATCATCAATCACAGGAGGTTTGGTAATTTTGTTGTGTAAAGCTTTGCCACTAACCAATGATCCAGAAGGGCCTATCACAGGTAAAGATCCTTCTACAGTAGCTGGTCCTAGCATGTGTGCATTAGGAAGTGACACAGGAAGATTAAACTGAGAAAGGCTCTGCAATTTGGAAAACAATAACATAAAACCAAAGTGCCCAGGCTAAGAAATTGCAAAGTATAAGAATAAAGTGTTGACAGTAAATGAACGGGGGATTCCTTTGCCAAAATAATTCATCGCTTACTTGCTTAATAGACAAAACATAATGTGTTTTCATAAAGAAGAATGATCTAATAAGGGAGTCCTGACTCAACTTACAAAAGCTTAATTGAAAGAGATGAAAAAATCAAGTAAGCAAACACTCAGCATTCCGATGAAGACCAGAGATAGAAACACCCTAAACATAAAATATTGACAGAAAACCATTCCCTCCCATAACATATAATGGAACAGACAGTAATAACTATTTGTCAGCTGAAAGTCCACACACCTGAACATCTTCAACAACAATACGATTTACTCCATGCTCCATCGGGCACATATCTCCTCTTAGGCAAAATCCACGCTCCTCAAAGTCTCTACATCTCTGCCTTGGAATACCCATACCCACAGTAGGATTCAAGGGTGGCCTGAGTGTTCCCTGGAAACCAAGGGAATGAATTGTATCAAGGCCGCCATTAGACATTCCTGGAACCATTCCAAATGCACTCCAAGATGAACTCTGTGCATTAGAAACGTTTTGCACCCCTCTTCCAGTAAAGAGATCAGGAGTAACAGGGCCCTGTGGAAACATTTGAGATGCAATATCAGCGGAGCCAAACCTTGAATCACGTTGGGCCCAAGCACTATGTTCTCTCCCTCGACCCCTACCATTACTAGCATCACCAGACAGTGATTGGTTCAGCCTCATTCTTTGGTATGATTCCAAAGGGGCCCTGGAAAATGAACCCATTCCTCGTCTTCTTGGGAACCTGGTTTCACTAAACTGAGAATCTCCTTCACCATAAGGATGTCCATTCTTAAAAGGCTTTCGTTTCCTGAATGGTCTACTGAAAACTGGTTCAACGGCATCAGTCTCCTCAGATTGAGAATGCAGTTCTCTCCTACGATGCTTATGATTGCGATCATCATCATCCTCTTCACTGATTTCTTTCTCTTCAGGATCACTGTTGCAATCAGAAGGTAAAAGTGCTGGCTTTGAAGATGAAACTTTAAGCTCCATGAGTCAACACTCAACCTTGTTTATGATCAAAATGTGTATGCCCAGATAAATAAGATAAATCAAATTATTTCAATGGTCCACGCCAATTAAAAGTGACCAGTACCTGAAAGTGGGGACAACAATGCGGAAGACTATTAATATTCATTTACGCAAGCATGAGAAGCTAAACTTGACAGTTCTATTAAGGTCATTGACGTTTTCTCACATACACAACAAAAGCGGTAGGTCTAAAATAAACAGTCGTAAGAGACAGCACTTTGGCAATAAAATGCAGTTGATAATTTATTTATTTTTGAGAAGGTAACATATCCAGTATATTCATAAAAAATCATCAGCACAACACGTGCTGGAAACCAAAATAGGTGTGTTACATTAAAAAAGAAAACAAAAATACAATCCTTGTTCTTCTTACAAGGAGCTTAAAACATCTATAATTGAAACAGTATCATCTATGTATTCTGATTTACACCAAAAACAAAAAAGAAGAATACACTTCGTCTTAATTTTCTGGAGAGAATCTTCAAAACATCTCGAATTCCTTTCCTTCCAAATTGTCCACCAAATAGTTGCTGAAAATTTTTCCATCTGTCTTTGTCCGTGGTAAAGTTTGCCCCTGAGTTCCAGCTTAGTAAGAGTTCAGAAGTTCTCCTAGCATTACCCATCTAGTACCTCCGAGGTTGATGAACAAATCCCATAGCTGGCTGGTCACTTTACAACGTAGAAACAGATGGCTAATTGTCTTAGCATCTTGTCTACACAAATAACACCTAGATACAATTGGTATACCCCTCTTTCTTACGTTTCCCTGAGTAAGTACAACTTTCTTAACCACCAACCAAGAAAAGCATGCCACTTTATAAGGCACCTTTACTGTCCATATGTGCTTCCAAGGCCATAAACTGAGTTGAGAGCGCTCCTAGTTCAAATCTTTATATGCTGAGCTGACTGAGTAAATTCCAGTACTATGCTTCTGCCCTCTGAGTGTATCTTCACCTTCCTGTAGTCCTTTGCCTTGTTCCAAAGTGTTATAAAAATTGTTTTTTTACCATCTTGCTTAGGAAAGACACATCTCCGTCCAGACAAGATCGTTAGATGATCGTTTCTGTACTGTCCTGTCTTGAAGAACGTCTTCCCCGATCCGAGGTAGATCAACAATCGTGAAAGGCCCAGGATGGTCGCTATAACGTCTTTTTCGACACAGTAACAAGATCCAACGATTAATCTAACGTGAAAGACGATTACGTGAAAGACGATTACTGTACCTTAAAAAACGCGATATAGGCTTTAAAGAAGGTTTTCACGAAGGATTGTTGGATAGCCTTTCACTCGGACTTGAGATCCTTCAACTGGCTGGAAGGTTGACTCAATTATTCTGGACATCTCCCAACCTTGTAAGCATCTCCTGAAAGTCACGTTCCAACCTTGTGTAGACAAAAGTTAATTCAAAGTAGTCCCTTATTGTTGGTTCAAAATATAGATGTCAGGATATAGTTGTTTTAAGCTTCGAACACCCAACTAGTCCTCCCAAAACTGTTTTTTCCTTCCATCTTTTGCATTAAGACTTAGCTTATCATTCAGACTTGGCCACAAATTCTTTATAGATCTCCAAAGGCTGACTCCATAAGGAGTGTTAACACCTCCAGCCATCTAAAAATCTTCCTTTCCATATTTTACCTTAATCACATTGCCCATAGTGCTTGCTCTTCCTTTGGAAACCTCCACAACCACTTTGTCAATAGGCTTTTGTTATGCTTTCTTAGATTCCTGACTCCCAAACCCCCTTATTGTTTGTTGATAGTCAGGATCTTCCATTTAACTAAATGTATCCCTTTTTTCTCTTTGTTTCCATGCCACAGGAAGTTTCTTCTCAAAGCTTCTAGCCTCTTTTCTACACTTGCTGGTAAAGGAAATAACGAAATCATATAGGTAGGAAGAGCATCCAAAATAAAGTTAATAAGTATCAATCTACCTCCCAGGCATAAATAATTTGCTTTCCATCTTGCAAGCTAATTCTCACATTTCTCCAAGACTCCATTCCAAATGTCTTTAGACTTAACGCTTTGCACCCAAAGGCGTTCTCAAGTAAATGGTTGGGGTACTTCTTAACTTCTCCACCTAAAATTCCACCTACAGATGTATCCTAGGCACCTCATTGACTAGGAAATATGGCTTTTCCTCCGGTTGATGTGGAGCCCATAAACAACTTCAAATAGGACTAAGATAACCCTTAGATACCTCAATTGGCTCTCCTCTCGATCACAATATATTAAGGTATCATCTGCATACTAAAAATGAGTGATTTTCCAGTTTGTTTGTTTGCTTGATTGTTAGCCACATTAGCCACATTGAGCCATAAATCCAACCATTCCCAAGTGCAATCTTCAGCATGTTATTTTAATCCTTCCATAGCAAGTACAAATAGAAAAGGAGACAGGAGATCACCTTGCCTCAAACCCCTTTCGGAGGAAAAAACCTTTAGGACATCCATTTATTAGGATTAAGAAACTGACAATACTTATACAATTTCACCCAACTGATCCATTTCCTTCCCAACCCCATTTTTCTGTAAGATCCCCAAAAAATTTCCAGTTCACATGATCATATTCTTTTTCAATGTCTAGCTTGCACATAATACCATATTTTTCCTCCTTTAACCTGGAATCAAGGCATTCATTTGCTATTAAAACAACATCAGTGATATGTCTTGCACTGATGAAAGCCTTTTGCTGTGAGTCTACTAGTTTATGCAACACCTTTTTAAGTCTTTCAATAAGGATTTTGGAGATCAACTTATAGATGCTCCCTATTAAACTAATGGGTCTATAATCTCTTAATTCCTTGGCACCATTCTTTTTAAAGGATCAAAGTTACATGTGGCATTGAAGCTCTTTTCAAACATCTCCTGAGAATCAAAATTCTGGATAATAGCCATTACATCTGACTTGACCACCTCCCAACAATTGATAAAATGAAACCATACAGTACCCATCTGGACCAGATGCTTTGTCTATTGCACAAAGCTTTAGACAATCCAGAGTCTCCTTCTCATCAAAAGGACATTGTAAAGCTTGTTGTTCTTCTTCAATAATAGGGCAATTATTCATATTGCAAATAGGTCTCCATTCCTCAGTTTCAAAGTAAAGCTTGATGTAACAATCTGTGATCTCCCTTTTGATAGCTTCTGGTTCTTCACTAGACTCTCCTAATACCAACAACCCCTAATACCAACAACCGATCAATGTTGTTGTTCCTTCTATGTGCATTGGCTATTTTAGGGGGAAAAACTTTGTATTCCCGTCACCCTGCTTAAGCCATAAGGCCCTAGATCTCTATCTTCGGGCTATTTCTTCAATTTATCGTTCTCTTCAAACTCCATTAAGAGATTTGTTCCTTTGGGGTTTCCTCTTCATTTAGACACCTTGTCTTTTAAATTGCATCAAGTTCAGACATTTGATGCATTATTGAGTTTTTCCTTGTCTCCACGTTGCCAAAATTGCTTAGGCTCCCTTCTATCAATTTCCCTTTGAGAGCTTTGAGATTACATGCAAGGATGTAATCAAGCTTGCCTTCAATAATAAAAAATGTCCACCAATCTTTAACTCTATCCTTGAATCCTCCAGTCTCCAATCACCGATTCTCAAACTTAAATAGGATTTATTCTGATCCCATTTACCACACCAAAGAACTAATGGTGTATGGTCAGAACAAATTCTAGGCAATAACTCTTGATGTTCTTGAAACAATCATTCCATTCTATTGAGATCAAGAACCTGTCAATTCTAGATGAGATCTCCTGATTGTCCCCACAAGTCCATGTGTAAATTCGCCCACCTGATGAAGATCAACAATTTCTATGTCTTCAATAAAGTCTTAAAAATCTTTCATTGCTTTAGTGTTTCTAGTGAATTCTTTTTTTTCAAAGGGAAATCTAACTATATTAAAGTCACCCCAACCACCCATGGACCCATAAATAGACTCCTAACAACCCCAACTTCCCGCCAAATTTCTTGTTTCTCTCTATTGAAATTTGGAGCATAGACCCTTGTGAAGTGCCAATTGAAATCCTGAGTTTGAGATTCAAATCGACATGTCTAAGTATAGGAACCAGTAGTGACCACCTCCCCTTTCCAGATCTTACTATCCCACAACATAAGAATCCCGCCCATAGTTCCATTAGCCTCCGGCTGCCCATATTTTATCCCTTGTTTCCCTACTTGATGATCTCCTCTATATCCCCTTCAAATTTAGTTTCCTAAAAACATTTAACATCAGGTTTTCAATTGAGAACCAAACTACTAATAACCCTCCTTTTTCTCTATGTGATTCAATCCCCTTACATTCCAAGATATGATTTTGATCTTCAAAGGTTCTACTTCCTCAATTGACCAAATTTCTGCTTCTGAAGACATATGCATCTGCATGTCTCCATTATCCTCTAAAGTGTAACTGTCACGGTGTGCATTCTCTCCTTCAAAAATTGTCATGGCATCACCTTCTTCATGAATCACCATCTGATTTTGCTCCTGAAAATGCGTAGGGGAGTCCCATACTTCATTGATGATGTTTCCAGAACTTTGTAGAGAAGACACCGTAATAGAGTTAATTGCTTCTATTTCAATTAGGACTGGATCCAACGTATAAGGGATATCTATGTTGGCCTGGACCTGATTGAAAATTTGGGCTTCAGTAAATAAAACTGAGCCCAACTGAGTGTTTTTTTCAAGTGGCACTTTAGGAGCTTTGGGCTTTTTAATAGGCCCAATACTCAAACCCTTAATTCCCCTTATCACTGGCACGTACACTCTCCCCTTTATTATACGCCTTTAATTTCAAATTAGGTGCATCTTTTGAGGAGCCCACGTGCTACCTCCTTATCCCTTCTAACCTCTTTATTGTAAGGCTCTCTTATCCGTTGGACATTCACCATCTCTGCTTCTTCACCGAAAAAACCCTAGTCGACAACTCGCACCAAATGGGTATCATGAAAACTAAACCACTGTCTTCAATCATCACCTCCTTCGGAACTACACCACCGTCTCCTCTAACTTTAATTCTTGCCCACTTTAGGTGATCCTTCAGAGAAGTTTCTTACTTTGTTTCTAGCCATCCTCCATAGTGGCCTCCAATGGCTTTGAAGACTTTTTCTATCCAGAAGTGCAACAAAATATCCATAGCTCTAATTATTTTTCCTTCTGTTGTTGTTTGTCTAAGCAACAACCAGCTGCCGGTGACCACTAGTCCAGATGAAATTTTTTGCACGCCTCCACCACCGCTCCCCTTTTAGGATATATCCTGCCATATATTTTGTTAGAAATTCAAAGAGAAAGTGACACCCTCCCATCTCATAAATATTACCTCCAAAAGAGTTCTTCCCGGTACTAACAAATCATCTTCTAATATCGATTAGTGTTGGCTTCTCCTCCAAGTCTTTCTTAAAATTCCCTACCACACCTCTTCCAGTAGCCCATTTTCAAAAGACTCCCCTATGATTCTATTGTTGTTGGTTTTAATCGTGGCTGCATTGGAATCTTTCGTTTGCCATTTTACTGGTTCTTGGGATCTACGGAGTATTTGCAATAAAAGTTGTTTTGTTTTTATTAATGAAGTTTTGGATCTTAAATGCAATGTCCTTCCACCCTCCATTGAATGTAATCTCTTGAATAATAATTAATGATATGCTTTCTCCTTATATTGATACGATGCTTATAAATCTTCCAAAGTTTTCGCATTTCTCATCAAACAAATAGGGAATTTATTCATTACTCCACCTAGTACTGATTGATTGGAGAGAGACATACGTGGATTAGTACAATTAATTCTTTATTGGCATATGGATTCCAAGAGAGACTAGGTCTGGTTTTTCAACCCGATCCATGTATTGGAATAGAGTACCTTATTTCTTTTTATCAAATTTGATTGTTCTTCCTTTAGCTTCCATCTTTTGACGTAGTTTCCAGCAACTCTTGATGCTTCCTGTAGAACAATGCACAGCCACTCCATGGTTTTCCTGAACGTAGTTCTCCGCATCAAGTTACGACTCCTTCCTATCCATTCTAACCAGACTACAACCCTCGATATGATTCTGGTGATATCATAAGACTTGAACCCCAGTGCAAAATAAATCTTGTCTACCTCCATATTAACAGAAACCTTACAAATAAAACCTAGTAATAAAAGAGGAAAGAGAAAAATTCTAAAAGATGACGCCAGAGGAAAGAAACTGATTATAGGATGTTGCCAGAAAAGAGGAAATCTTTTCTGCCCCCGTGAAATGTGCCTGGAAGCCCAATTGATTAATACATTCCTCAACCTAAGCATAACAATTTCGTGATCAAGCTAAAATATATCCTGCAATATGAACTTGTTGGCTTCAAACCCACAAAGCCTACACAGATGTCTCTGAACTTTAATGTTGAGATGAGATAGCATACCGGAAGAATTGATAAAACATGGCATAAAACATATGAGAATGAGCTTTTCAAGGCACCCATCATGCAAGTGAATAGTTTCAAGAAACTATCAAAATGCATAGATACTACGAAATATAGACCTCACAAGTTGGAATCAACACATATCAAATATTCTCCTTTTTCTGGAAGCGGAGGAGAGAGAATGCCAATAAGGACTTGAATGTTCACGAATCTTTTTCACTTTTCTTCACCAAGCAAGAAAGACTTTAAATTTCACTCACTAACTATTACCAAAATGCAAATGTATTGATACACAAATAATTACGTGTTGTCAAATAATCACTATACTTTAGCCAAATCATGCTCATAGCATCATGTAAAAGGACCTTATCAAAAAAAAAGCATCATGTAAAAGGAAAACAGAGACAACTATTCACATAGAACGAGTGGATCATAAGGATATCAGGATTTTTAACGAGGCATTATCAGAGAATGGTTATGGAGATTCGGGATAGAGGATCATGCTCTTTGGAGGGAGATGATAGCGGAAAAATATGGGATTGTGGAAAGGAGTTGGCGAAAAACAGAACATCATACTCCTTTTTAGGTGCGGCCGATGGAGGAATATTGTGAAGGATCAGGAAGAGTTTTGCAGCATTATCACTTACATGATAGAGGAACAAACCAATGTCAGTTTCTCGAGGCATAGGTGGTATGGAGATAATGCATTGAAATTCTTATTTCCCGACACTTACAACATTTCCAACCAAAAAGAGAAAAGATCCCAACAGGGTTAAAGGTCATGAAAGGGAGTTTCACCAGGACTTGTGGTTTAGAAGGAACCTTGAGGATTGGGAGGTTGCAAACTTTGAAAGTATGGTTGAATTGCTTTATAAATAGTTTTTTGCGTAACAAGAAGGATCCTTGGAGGTAAGAGGCAGGTAGTTGGTTGAATTGCTTCATAAATAGTTTTTTGCGTAACAACAAGGATCCTTGGAGGTAAGAGTCAGTAAAGCCTAATTAAAATAAATTGTTGATCATTCAAGAGGCAGGATACTGGAAGACAATTATAGATGCTAAATTTGGTGCCCCAAGGCCACTGGTGTACCAAGGAAAGCACATTACTAAATAGGGTTGGAGTTTGGAAATACATCAGCAGTCACAACAAGGAATTTTTCCAGAACATATCCTTCAGAGTTGGAAATGGTCTACATATTAACTTCTGGAAAGACAAATGGATTTGGTAACACAACCCCATAGGAATCCTACCTAGGGTTATATCAGCTTGCACGTAACAAGGATGCTTTTATTGCCCAATACGAAGAAAATAATAGCTTGAATACCACATTCAGAAGGAATCTTCAATATTGGAAATTACTTACTCACACTCCTTGCAGCATTGGAAGACTATTAGAGTGTTTGGATTGGCCTATAAAAAGTAGCTTTTAAGCTAAAAGCCAAAAGCCATAAGTTGGTAATACCCAACTTTTGGCTTTTGACTTATTTTTGTACTTTTTATGCCTAAAAGTAAGTGCTTTTAAGCACTTTTTATCATTGCCAAACACCACACAAACTAAAAAAGTGCTTAAAAGCCAATAAGCACTTAAAATAAGCTAACCCAAACACCCTCTATAGCTTTAATCCACACCAACCTGACAAAATCCTATGGCGAAGCTCTAAAGAAGGGAGGTACACAATCAAAGCTGGTTACCATCATTTGTTCTCTCAGAATGGCATCCTTGAGGATTGGCCATGGAAAAATGCGTGGAAGATTAGACTACCTCTAAAACTCTCATGCTTTTCTTGGATAGCACTTAATGGAGCATGCCTAACACAGGACAACCTCACAAAAAAGGCATAACCTTAGTAAACAGATGCTATTTGTAACACTAACACCCAAGTTCAGAGAATGTCAGCCATCTATTTCTATACTACCCACTCACAGCTGATCTTAGAACTTCTTCCATTTTATTTTGGTTTATAAAACCATCAGAAGGATCTGGAGGATGACCCCAACAATAATTTTTTGGTGTGTCCGAACTGAAAGGAACAACAGATGCTTTAATGGGATCTGAAATCCTACTTACACTCTTAAGGCCAAATCTTAGTTAGATTGTTTAGTTGGCATTTTTCCCCTATAAACAATATTGATAATTTTTTGGATTTTGTTAGCTCACTGAGCTAACTTAGACATTGTTCTGGAGCTAACTTTTTGCTACCTTGTATTCTACATCTTTTGGATGCCTTTTTATTAATGATAATTACTTAACTCATTAAAAATAAATTGTTGATCATAAAGTAATCAACATTTCCACATCTATCAATTAAGAATCCCACGATGTCAAATACTGTGCAATTCTTCAGTTGCTTGGCAGCAAGGGAGTACTTCCGACAACTGAAAACTCGAGGAAGAGGAGAATTACATACGTCAGCGGTTGTATGTGTAAGAGATCGGACAAAAATGTGGATCACCTCTTAATACATTGTCAGGTAGTGTCTTGTTTATGGTGGGAGATCTTTAGATGGTTCGGGTTGCAATGAGTGATGCCATGCACCGGGAGGAGACACTGTTCAATTGGACATTTAGAAGACAGATGAGAAGATGAAAAGCGTGTGCTATTCTAGCAGTATGTGGGTTGTATGGAAAGAGTGAAATATGATAGCTTTTGAAGGGATAGAAAATGGTTTTGTACATTTGAGAAATAGCCTCATTTATTTTTGGTGTATCCATGAGATCCCAATTTGTGTCGAAAATTAGATATCGTTCATATAAAATTATATTTCTTTGCAGATTCTCTACTTTTGATTATGAGAGATTTCTCTCCCCATTATCAATAAAATTATGTTACCTTATTCCAAAAAAAAAAAAAAATAGGCAAGTCATACATAGCAAGAAATTTAGACAAATCTAAATGAAAAAGAAACTTGTAGCCCATCTTGATTAGTCTCTTTATAACACATAACAATCAAAAAATAAATTAATAAAAAAAAGATAAACAACAAGTTGAGTAACAAACGAAGCTTCAGCATGCTAGAGGAACCGATACATAAATAAAGAACCTGTTTTGACATGAAAGTGCACAGAGGTGCTATGTTGTTCACAAGAGACCTTTTTCAAAATATAAATTTTATTTTCCCAATTTTCACACTTTATTTTTTATATAATTTTCATTTTCACACTTCTACTTCTTGACTTAGGAGAAACGTATCAGAAATGAAATTTCTGTTGCTCAAGGCTCTCCTTAAAAAAGGGAAAGAAGTAAGAGAGCCATTTCAATACAAACACCGACAAACGGCAATAACTATTTTTTTTTCACTAGAACACAGAGACATGCGAAGATACATCCATTCTTTCACTTTTCAAGTATTTCACATAAATAATGCTTTGAATTAGGTGAAAGAGCCTACTGGAAGGTTTATGAGTTACGTTGAAAATTCCAACCCATGAGCTAATCTTTTTAATTATTTTTGACAATTTCCACATGAAACTAACGCTGGTACATACAACCATTATGACATAGGCATTGCAATCATCATTTAGAGCCCATCACTAGAATTGTCGAATGAATATGGTGTTATATTTTGCATCGGTGCATTAGATAAATTTGAACAATTTCTAGATTGGGTTATTTTTTATTGGGGATAATGAAACCAATCTAGTTGGCAAGTGCACAAATGTTGTCCGACTGGAACTACCAAACCAAGGGCTAAAGCCTCTCTCGTGGCAATCAGTAATGTAGCCAGGAATTTATATAAAGGGATTCAAAAAATAATAGAATCTCATAGTTTACTGAGATTTAAACTTGTGACTTAGCGGCTAGCGCAACATTAAACCTCCTTTACCAAAGCACAAAAAAAAATTCTTGTTTTTTTTAGAAGGCAAAGCACTAGAATTTTTTCTTTATGTCAAAGGGATTCAATAGTTTATATATAACCAAAAAAAACTCCCCTATTTGCCAGTATAATATTTCGATAAAGGGGATTCAATTGAACCCCCTTCCTTCTCTTACTAGCTCCGCCCCAGGTGGCAACCTGTCTTCGGTCAATGGTAATATTAACAAGTGAAAGCATTCAAAGACTTGGAAAGGACTTTGCTAATCATAACAAGCTCTCACCTTCATTCAGGACACTGAACAACAAGCTTGAATGGAAGCCGATAAAGGCCAGAATGGTCAAAGTATCCTAAGGTAGTGAAATCAGAAGAAAAATTTCCCTCTCATTGTGGATAATATTCTTCTCTAATATGATGAATCTCCAAATATTAAACAAATATGATTCATATATCGAACCCTAACTAATTGGGATAATACATCGTTGATTGATTGAGTTTAAGACTTTAAGTAATCCTATCTTTCAGAGCGATAGTTACTGGATCATTGTTATTTATCAAAAAAAAAAAAAAGGAAGTTACGGGATCATTTTTTACATCTAATACCAAAGTCACTCAGCACTTAAAAGTCTAAATCAAACCAGTCTATTTTACACGAAGCTCCAAAACATTTCCAAAAGATTCAAAACCCTTCTTGAACACTTACCCCAAAATGCACCAAGCTCTCTTTCTCGTCAATTACAGTTGACTTAGTGACGAGAAGTCTATTTTATTATTAATATTATTAATTGTATTTTTCTTATTGTGAATTGTGATTAGAAGTCCTTTTTGCAGTGATAATTGTAATCTTAGTTTATTCATTAACTTTTTTCATTGTCACATTCAAATATCCATGAAAATAAACAAATATACTATGTGATTAGTAGCAACTTTATGTCAAAGAAAGGGAGCAACAACGACCTTAAATCGTAGGTCTGCCACTGAACATTATTCTCTTGAAAAGTTTGTTTGCCAACTAAATATAGATGATTGTAAATGTATCAGAGCTATAAGTTACTGTATCATTTTACAAAGTCACTCAGCATTTGAAGTCTATACCTATAACGATAACAAAGAAAAGCACCATTGTGTCACCTCAGCCAAATTTGAGCCAAAAAACTCAGTTTCTCCATAATTTAACAAAAAAAAGTAAAAGATTGGTTCCATTTTTATCCTATCGAAACATCCAAACAACTTAGGAACCCAACATACCACCAAGCCAGATTAAGGCATAACATACAAATCCATCCAGAACTGCCACAATCGACAATTAAAGGTCATTTACCAAATTAAGTAATTGAGCAGAAACAACAATTTCTTTATTCCCTTAGCTGGAATCATGCTGAAAGAAAGCTCCACCACTACCCACTCGAGCCGTAAGTATCAAATGACAAAATGAATAATCAAATAAAAACAAAACTCCAATTACTAAATCTTTTGTCCTCTAAAAAACTGAAATTACCAATTTCAGCGCAAACCCCTAACTGAATCGAAGCAATATAATTACACACTTAACAATTAATTCTCCACCGAAGATTAAAAGAAAATTACTTCCAAAACTATACTGAGCAAAAGTAGAAGAATAGAACCTGAAAAAGAATTGGCTCTCTTAGGGTTTCGAATTAACGTCCTCAATTCGGCAAATATGAAAATTATCGGCGAATAATGGCCGGACCGTAAAAGACCTCTTTTGTATATTTTCTGCCTCTGCTTTCTTTTTTTTTTTTTTTTTTTTGAATTGGGAGAGAGAGGGTTTTACAGTCCCATGCGGTTTGCTGTCCACCTCGACTTCTCTTGGAATTTAGATTTTCACTTTCTTCTCGTTGTAAAGTTTATTTGCCAAATAAAAATAGATGATTGGTACATGCAAATAGCACGGTATAGTCAGTTTTCGGACCGGTCATTCAAAAATAGCCAGTGTTTACGAAGTCAATGAAAAATAGTCATTATTTTGCTGCAACAGAGACCGGTCCAGCATAATATACTAGAGTTCGGTGCACCTGTGTATGAACTCCAGCATATTATGCTGGATCGGTATACTTTGCTGACTCCAGTATAATATACTGGAGAGTGGAGCATCGGTGCTCCAAACTCCACTACATTATACCGGACAATTACACTTGCTGGACTCCAGTATATTATGCTAGAGTTCTAGTGCACTTATACTGGAACTCCATCATATTATGCTGGAGTTCCAGCATACTTATCCTGGAACTCCAGTATAATATGCTAGAGTTCAAGCATACTTATGCTGGAACTCCGGTATAATATACTGGCGTATTTTCCGGATTTTGAACAGTGTTTTCGTTCAGATTTATCTTTACATGAAAAGTGGCTAAATTTCGATTACTTTTGAAACTGGGCTATTTTTGAACGACCAGTTGTAAATCTGACTATTTTTGAATTTCTCCTCCTTTATACTGCTAGGGGTTTCAAAAGATATGAATTTACTCAATATAACTAATAATAGAATAAATAAAGAGTAAAAATATATTTAAGAACTCGAGAAAAGTAAATAAGCCTCTTTCTATGGTGGAAGACGGAAGCCTAACTTAATTTTGAGAAACTACCACATATATCCATTTACAGCTTGTTTGGATGATTGTTACATATTGTTCATAATATATCTTATCGTACTGTATCGTTTGATGAATACAATGTTTGGATAGATTGTGTCGTTTTCCATCGTTTCATGATATCACACACCAGTAATATGAAGAATAAACTTGTAATATTATAAAGAAAAATTATGATACAAGGTAAAATTACTATATATAAAGGTAGGGTAAATGATAAAATAAAATTATTTAATAATAATGAAGGGTGAGATTGAGAGAAAAAGACAAGATAACGCTGCGACCACACTAAATCGGTCGTTACATAAAGTGGCATATTTCGTCGTTATGTAACGACGAATTTAACGATACGATACAATAAAATTTAAATAATAATCAAAACAAATATCATATTTAAAGTAACAATATGATATAATGCAATAGGTAACAACCATCCAAACAAGCTGTTATAATTAGCTTATTACAAAAATTGATTAATTCATAAAATATTACTAATATTAGTCAAATATTACCAATATTAACCAATTATATATTTTGTAACCAAAAAAGGTCAAGTTTTTGCTCTTTTTTTGAGTGGGTGTTATTAGAATAGATTGGGTACATCTTAAGTAGCCTCAATCTCAGTTTTGGGATGAGTTGGTGGAGTTTTGAGGTGGATTGAATTGAAAATTTAAAGTAGAAGATGAACATCAAAAAAATTATGTGTATCACACTATTTATCATTTGTGTAATCACATATGTATCATATTTGTATAAAATGTGTATTATATGTATATCCATGTATAACTATGTGTCAGATACATGTTTGATACATGTGTCGCAGAAGAATTTTTTTAACTCGATTTTTAACTATGAATTGTGATACCAAATTACCTCCAATCTTCCTCAAATTTTGTATATTGACTCATCTATATGTTTTCAACTCAGATTTTTAGAATCTTATATATATNCTAGTGTTGCTGATCACGCTTAAAAATATGGAAGGAGATCTTTGCGTGTGATTTTTGGAGAGAAAGAACCTCATTTCTTTGGGTTTTCAATTTTTATATGTGCATAGCTAGTTTTGTTAAGTATATAATTAATGGCTAGAGGTTGGTAATTTGGGACTTATTTGGGACATTTATGTAAGATTCCCTTTTACTCCTTTAGAAAAAGTTCAGCTTGACAAAAAGTATCCATTCTTTTTAGCTTGAAAAAATGAGGTCCAGATCTTGTTCTACTTGCTTATCATTCTAAACTCATATTTATTACTTTTGTCACGACCCAAATTCCACCATAGAGGTTATGATGGCACCTAGTCTCTAAAACTAGGTAAGGCGGTCATTTACAACAATTAGACCAATAAAACATGCTAATAAAGCATAGTTTAATATAAATATGAAAATAAAGGTGATACAAGCCAACACGGCGATAATCACAACATATCCCCAGAACTAGGTATTACAGAGTCTCGAGCTCTAACTGAATACGTAGAAATATCTCAAAATATAATATAATTACGATAGAGTAACAACAACAACAACAACAACAATAACAACCTAATGAATTCCCACAAGTGTGGTCTGAGGAGGGTAGAGTGTACGTAGACTTTACCCCTATCCGGGAGAGTAGAGAAGTTATTTCCAAAAGACCCCCCGCACAAGAAAAGGAAAAGAGACAAGAGAGACTCTAAGGGATTGCGACGATCAAAGCAGCTATACCTTGAATCCCCACGATCAAAGAAGCTCTCACTGCTTGGGTCCGCTACCTCCAACACCTGGATCTGCACAAAATTGTATAGAAGCGTAGTATGAGTACACCATGGTCGATACCGAGTAATCATCAAGACTAACCTCAATAAAGTATTGACGAGGTCAAGTCAGGCGATAGTCACTAATCAAAATAACCTCTACAATAGATCAAGACTGGAAACACAAGTATAACAAGAAACAATAACAATAACCTCATCAAAATAAGTGATAACAACTCAATACAAATAGAGACTCAGTTTCAACAAAAAATCATCACAAAGGAACTCACACAAATGGCACCTCGTGCCCACATTATCATCACAAAAATAATAGTGATCTGTATCACTCCGCCCCGACAAAGTCACAATAGCCACCTATATCACTCTGCCTCGACAATAACACAATAGTCGCACCTATCGCTCCGCCCAAATAATATCACAATAGCAACCCGTATCGCTCCTCATAGACAATATCACAATAGCCACCTGTATCACGCTGCCCAAAAAAAATATCACAACAGCCACCCGTGTCACTCTGCACAGACAATATCACAATGGCTACCCGTATCGCCCCGCCAAGAAAAATATCACAATAGCCGCCCGTATCGCTCCGCACAATCAACAACAGTGAAATGCCACCCTATACTCTGCACAAGAACAATCAAACCACACAATATGCCCATATGTGCCACAATATCACAAAATGATAACACTAAAGGTTTATCACGATATAAGCTCACAACTTATCAACAAAGTGTACAAGGACATGAGAATAACATAAAGGTGCGGAGGGGTGCTCAACAAATAAAGCATGACTATGGCTAATTCAGTGTAGCGATCATAATCATGAAATCATAAAGTGATGTAAGCATGTTCCATATAAGTTACTTTATCAAATTAAGGCGTATAATAGCTTACGGTCCAACCCGGTCACAAAGCCACATATAACACCCATGTACACACTCGTCACCTTATGTACACGTTGCTTTTCACATAACACGGATGAGCAACCAAGGCTAAATTCTAAGGGGTATTCCCCCACACAAGGTTAGGCAAGATTTTTACCTCAAACAAGCCAAATTAGTATACTAAAAATCCCTTCCCATGTGAATTAACCTCAGGACGGCTCGATTCTAGCCAAAATAACTTAATAACATTAATAAAAGTCATAGAAAACAACCCCGAACAATAAAGCTTCGATTTGAACAAAAATCAAAAGTCAACCCAGATTCGCCTCTTGGAACCCGACAAAATTTACAAATTCTAAACACTCATTCGAATATGAGTCCCACCATACCAATTTCAACCAAGTCCAACTTCGAATCTAGGTTCAAATCCTCAAATTACATTTAGAAAAGTTTTTACTAAAATTCTCAATTTCTCTCAGTTAGATCATCAATTAAATGTTAAAAACAAGGATAAAATCATGAATAATAACCAAAACCTGAATAAAAAATACTTATCCCAATTCAAATAGTGAAAATTCCCTCCAAAATGACCAAATACAAGCTTCAAATCTCAAAATATGATAAAACAACTAAAACCCTCACAATGAAATATTTAACACGAATGTTCAGTGGTCTCCTTCGCGATTGGGGGACCTACTTCGCGATCGCAAAGAACAAATCAAACACTGACAAAACAATCCTCCTTCGCGAACGCGATTTGGAACTCATGAACGCGGTCTAGACCCTGCGAATGCTACCCACACCTTCACTGGCCTACGCAAACGCGTTCCCTCACACGCGAACTTGGCGAGCCCATCAAGTCTTCACTCTACATGAACGCGACCACCTGGGCACGAACGCGATGACCACAGCCCCTCTAGGCTTCGTGAACGAGACAGCCATATCGTGAACGCGAAGGGCAAAACACCAGCTACCCAGATACACTCAGTGATCGCAACCCTTGTTCTGCGATCGCGATGAACACTAGAACATTAGAACACCAGAAAATCCGCACCTCCAAACATGAGAGAAATTATTCGAAACACATCCAAGACCCTTAGGACCCCATCTAATTACACCAACCAATCCCAAAATATAATGTGGAGCTACTTGAGGCCTCAAATCATACAAAACAACATCAAAACCACGAATCGCATACCAATTCAAGCTTAATAAACTATTTCAAAATTCCAACTTCCAAACTTACGCTGAACATGCCTAAACAACTCGGAATGACCGCAAATTTTATACACAAGTCATAAATCACCGTATTAACCTATTCCAAGGCTCGGAATCCCAAACAGACATCGATAACTACAAGTCA